CTTAGAGTATTTCTCCAGGAAAACTGTTACAGGAGTTCTAACATAATTCCTCCTCGAATCGCAGGAGAATTCCTCCAGAAATCCCAGCAGGATGGTTTCTGTTATTTCAGGGGAGAATTTCTACAGGAATCCCAAAACAATCGCTCCAGAAATCCCCGGAGGATTCCTCCAGGAACTTCAGAACCAGTGAATTTTCATTTTTAAATTCCCGATTGTTAATAGTTAGCAAACGTAAAACGAATGTGTTGAAATGATTGCAATATCACGTTAATTTCAAGGCACATACTTAGAATCAATTTGAGTAACTTTTTAGACTCGAGTCCTCTTATGGTTTTAAAGCGCCAGAATTTAGAAAGTATAAGAATCATGGATTATGTAAGGTCACTTAGCCGAACGCTATCAATGTTTAACAAATTTTAGAGGTTAGATATTCAATTAAGAAATTGTTTCAGAAGTCTTGAACTGCATACAAAGATCTCACAGCAAGCAAATGTGTTTCCGCATCGTTATCGGTACTAACAGAAATCTTATAAAAAAATTAATAAAATTTCAAGGGTTCTAATCTAGGACATTTTTTCGAGATTTGTGACTTAAAACAATCTATCCTGTTTTCGAAAAAAAAACAGGATTGTATTTTTTCCCAACAATATGGGACTGATAAAAATACTCGAAATGTGGAATTTTGAAGAATTTTTTTCATAGAATGTTGAAAATCCCAAACTCTCAGAAAAACTCGGAGAAAAATTCAACGCAGCTCTGACAAGAATCCAAAATCAATTCTGAGATTAGGCTCTGCGGGATTTTTAGAAAAATTACAAGAGAGTTGTGGGGCGAACTTCAACAAGAATTCCTGGGTGATTGTGAGTAGAATACAGGTGAAATATAAACAGAATTTAAACGTTTTTCTGAGAAAGATTCCGAAGAGAAGAAGTTCCGATCAAAATGTCATTCGTGTTGTGAAGTTAACTAAAAAAAATGCAGGAGAATTTCAATGAAATTCCTAAGAAAGTTTCAAGAAAATATAAAAGGATTCCTGATGAAAGTTTTGCGTAAGCTCATATCAAATTTTGAACTTCAATGGCTTAAGATGATTAGGAGGTGAAAATGCAATTTTTTAGCTGGATTAAGCTCAAAATTTGATTTAACTTTCAATTTTAGTTGGAGAATGTTAAGGTTTATTGCTATTTCCCGGTTGTCCCGCCAATGTCCCGGTTTCTTTTCAAATTCCCGGTTATTTCTTGGCTTTCCTGGTTCGCTAGACACCCTATTAGGAGGAGGATTCCTCCAGGAACCGCAGGAGGATTCCTCCATAAATCGCATGAGGATTCCTTCAAGAATCGCAGGCGGATTCCTCCAGCAGTAGCAGGAGGATTCTTATAGTAATCGCACGAGGATTCCTCCGGGAATCGCAGGAGGATTACCCCAGGAATCACCGGAGGATTCCTCCAGAAATCGCAGGATTCCTCCAGGAATCGCAGGAGGATTCCTCCAGGAATCGCAGGAGGATTCCTCCAGGAATCACATGAGGATTCCTCCAGGAATCGCATAAGGATTCTTCCAGGAATCGCATGAGGATTCCTCCAGGAATCGCAGGAGATTTCCTGCAGGAATTGCAGGAGGATTCCTCCCGGAATCGCAGGAGGATTCCTCCAGGAATCGCAGGAGGATTCCTCCAGGAATCGCAGGAGGATTCCTCCAGGAATCGCAGGAGGATTCCTCCAGGAATCGCAGGAGGATTCCTCCAGGACACATGAGGATTCCTCCAGGAATCGCAGGAGAATTCCTGCAGGAATTGCAGGAGGATTCCTCCCGGAATCGCAGGAGGATTCTTAACGAAATCGCAGGATTCCTCCAGGAATCACAGGAGGATTCCTCCAGGAATCACAGGAGGATTCCTCCCGGAATCGCAGGAGAATTCCTCCGGGAATCGCAGGAGGATTCCTCCAGGAATCGTAGGGCGATTCCTCCAGGAATCACAGGATGATTCCTCCAGGAATCGCAGGAGGATTCCTCCGGGAATCGCAGGAGGTTTCCTCCGAGAATCGCAGGAGGCTTCCTACAGGTATCTCAGGAGGATTCGTCCAGGAATCGTAGGACGATTCCTCCAGGAATCGCAGGATAATTCCTCCAGCAATCGCAGGAGGATTCCTCCAGGAATCGCAGGAGGATTCCTACAGGAATTGCAGAAGGATTCCTCCAGGAATTGCAGAAGGATTCCTCCAGCAATCATAGGTGGATTCCTCCAGGAATCGCATGAGGATTCCTTCAAGAATCGCAGGATTCCTCCAGCAATAGCAGGAGGATTCTTCCAGTAATCGCAGGAGGATTTCTCCAGGAATCATTGGAGGATTCCTCCAGGAATCGCAGGAGGATTCCTCCAGGAATCGCAGGAGGATTCCTCCAGGAATCGCATAAGGATTCTTCTAGGAATCGCATGAGGATTCTTCTAGGAATCGCAGGAGATTTCCTGCAGGAATTGCAGGAGGATTCCTCCCGGAATCGCAGGAGGATTCTTAACGAAATCGCAGGAGAATTCTTAACGAAATCGCAGGAAGATTCCTCCAGGAATCGCAGGAGGATACCTCCAGGAATCGCAGGAGGATTCCTCCAGGAATCGCAGGAGGATTCCTCAAGGAATCGCAGGAGGATTCCTCCAGGAATCGCAGGAGGATTCCTCCAGGAATCGCAGGAGGATTCCTCCAGGAATCACATGAGGATTCCTCCAGGAATCGCAGGAGAATTCCTGCAGGAATTGCAGGAGGATTCCTCCCGGAATCGCAGGAGGATTCTTAACGAAATCGCAGAAGGATTCCTCCAGGAATCACAGGAGGATTCCTCCCGGAATCGCAAGAGAATTCCTCCGGGAATCGCAGGAGGATTCCTCCAGGAATCATAGGGCGATTCCTCCAGGAATCACAGGATGATTCCTCCAGGAATCGCAGGAGGATTCCTCCGGGAATCGCAGGAGGTTTCCTCCGAGAATCGCAGGAGGCTTCCTCCAGGTATCTCAGGAGGATTCGTCCAGGAATCGTAGGACGATTCCTCCAGGAATCGCAGGATAATTCCTCCAGGAATCTCAGGAGGATTCCTCCAGGAATTGCAGAAGGATTCCTCCAGCAATCATAGGTGGATTCCTCCAGGAATCGCATGAGGATTCCTTCAAGAATCGCAGGATTCCTCCAGCAATAGCAGGAGGATTCTTCCAGTAATCGCAGGAGGATTACTCCAGGAATCATCGGAGGATTCCTCCAGGAATCGCAGGAGGATTCCTCCAGGAATCGCAGGAGGATTCCTCCAGGAATCGCAGGAGGATTCCTCCAGAAATCACAGGAGGATTCCTCCAGGAATCGCAGGAGGTTTCTTCCAGTAATCTCAGGAAGATTCCTGCAGGAATTACAGGAGGCTTCCTCCAGGAATTACAGGAGGATTCCTCCAGGAATCACAGGAGGATTCTTCTCCTGGATTCTCGAAATGCTTTATAGAATCCACTTAGAACTATCCACAACATTTCCTAGGAATTTTGCCCTGAATTATTTAGAAGCTATCCTCAGAACTCAATAATTTAAAAAAAAAATCCTAGGAGCTCTATTGGAATTCTTCTCAGCACTTATTTAGAGAAACTTCATTAGAATTGGCTCTGGAATCTTCTTCGCAATCGTTTAGAATTCTGCTAAGAGGCACTTCAAAGTTCTACTCAGAACCAGTGCTGCAAAATCTCGACAATACACGGTGATATTCAAAATTCTGCTTTGGTCACTCATTTGAGCTAACAGTCATCGTCAAGACAAACCATATCCAATGTCAGTGACGAACATGTGCAGATTTTTGTATTTACTAAATTTGCATGAAATTAAATGACTTGAGAAAAAAAATTACATGGAGCCGTTAAAGGGAGCAAGCATCTTCGTTCTGAACTGCTTGGATAACAATAATGTGACCCAGAATGCACGAAATTACACTTTTAGTTACCAGGTGAATCTTTGTCATTGACGAAAAAATGAATGAGATTTTGACCAAGGGTTTTTCTTTTGAGGTTCAAGTAAGGAGTATTCAACTCTGCACACTTTAATTCGTGCCGAGTGATTAAGCTGTGCCTAGCGCTGTGCCGAACGTGTCAATCAAAGCATGCAAGGTGTCAATATTCCATGAGTTTGGCAACCCTGAAACTTATGACTTGTGATTGTGTTTACATTCTCAATTTCTCTGATGGAGCATGGCAAGCATTACCATTAGAACGTTTGCAGAATGGGAGGTGGAGGAGTAACTGAAAGCCACCAAACCTATAGGGTGTTCATCTAGATGTTCAAGCAAATGCAATGCATCGATGATGAATGAAATTTCTGTATATTAAATCCTCCCCGATTAAAGTAAACCCAGAACTCGAACGGGCGACAGTTCGATCCCACCCCCAGGATTAACATCGTCGAATCAGTTTTGAATCATCTGATCGACTCAGAAGTGCGGGTCCTCAAAGATATCGGCCAAGCCTATCGTATCGCTGATAATGATGCCTTCTACCACCTCATAATTACACACCACCTTGAACGCCTACCAACTCCCACAGAAGATTCTGCGCTGATCCTTCGTTGTACGCTTCGATATTGGATACCCACGGTAGTACAAATTGTTTAGTTCAAAAATAAGAAGCGTATTCTTTAAAATTTTCCTAAGTACAAAACCTGGTGAGATGGACCAAACTGGACTTCTGAGCCGTCTGAGAAGACAGTTGCAAAGGAAAAAAATAAGTTCGAAACCTTGAAACTGAAATACATCCCAGAGCCTTGACGAAATGGTTCATGTCTTGGATCTCTACAAATTGTTTCTAGTCCAAAGAACTTTTCCCTGGAAAGTCTTCTTAAAAAAATCATTGTTTCACTTTCCTACATGATTGGTGATATCATTATAATTTGCAGTTATGAATAATTCCCTGATTTTCCAGACAGTAGTCGACACCCCGATAGTTTTCGAATATGTCTTTACTGAGCCACGAGTCGAATTACCTTGTATCTCTTATGTCGTCCGGCACCGGTGTTCCACCACCTTCGAAAAGTCGGCAACTCGATTCGATCCGGTCAGTGTCCGAATTTCAACTCTTTCTCTCGTTCTAAGCCGGTGTACGCACAGCTGCACCGATGAGACTTTCTGTTGCCTTCAGCCCAGCTATCAATCTCAATCCCAATCCCAATCGAACACCGAACCGTAGTCGTTCTCGTCCGTGGAATTCGAATTGAGAACAATTAAATTGTTATTTCCTGACTTCTTCCTCCCGGGCCCGATGGTGATGGAAGCGACTTGAACGCGTTTCGCTTTTCTTTCCTACGCTGTGCTGTCTACCTCGAGAGTGTAGTGTATTTGTGTGTACACAACACAACACACTCTCTTCAGCCAGCCAGGCTGCTGAAGCAGAAGAAACAGCAGCAGCAGACGAAGAGGTCGTCGATTTCTTCTTTGTTTTTGTTATGGTTTGGTTGGTTCTCTTTGCACCGGAGGAGCTTCCTTCCTTCACGCGACGGACACCACCTTCTTCTGCCGATGCATCGAACAATTTGCACGGAACGAAAATTTTCACGTTTCTTCCCTTGGAACCAAAAATAGCACTCGCACAAACTAGTGGAACTTGACGTTTTCGCCTTTTGAAAATTTGAGAAGCAGTGGCCTTTCTTTCAACCTTTTCGCCGTGTGTTATTCTCCTTCACAGCAGCGCATTCACGCTTTCCTCATGGCTGGCCAGACACACACTTACAACACCTTTCCTTCTTTTTTTCTGACGGTGTTTTCAAGAGGATGATTATTCTTCGCACCACCGATCACATTTTCCGTACAATAATTTTCCTCTACACGCGCACACTTTTTCCAGAAATTATCACCGCTAAACCGCAGAAAGGAACGATTCGTGAGTGGCGGTCGGTGTTACTGGTTTCTGCTCGGGATCATCCAGACACTAAATGTCAGCCCTTTTTTAGTCGGGTCAAGTGACAGAATCCGAAAAAGGAAAACAATTTTCCCACCGCCGTCGTCGCACTCACACACTGAAACTCGGTTCCTCGCCGAACGCACTCTTCACGACACGACGCACACGAAAAGTCGAAAACTACAGTGGGACGCGGTTTTCCCGTCACTGCTGTTATCAAAAATTCGAAGGGAAAAACTCCCCAACGAACCACTCGATTCTTGAATCCAATCCGGGGACAAACGACGCATCCAACTTCAAAACGGAACTCACACAAATGCACTCCACACTCTTGGCTTGGACGTTCGCGGTGGAACGAACGGAACAATGCACGCAGAATGAAGAAAGCCAACTACTGAAACTGCCGAGAAGAGAAAAAAAAACACGCACTATTTTCCACACCACAGACGATCGAGAACAGTTTTCCCGAATTATCCACACGCAAACCGGAATCCCTTCTACACACCAAAATCACCTTGTTTTTCCCGCGGCTGTCCGCTTTCAGCGTTCTGCAAACGTAAAAGAAAACAGTAGCTGTTCAGATTGTTCTTTTTTTTTGTCTCCTTTCGTCGGAGGTCGTTGTCGTTGATCGTAGTCGCGGCGGTTTCCCTGCTGGTTGGCTGCTGACTGAACAGACACGAACGAGAAAAGCGACTGGCTGGCCGACTCGCGGTTCGCGGAGTCGGAGTTCGTGCAACGTTGGGTAGCGGTGTGTGTGCGGCGGAGACAGCGACCGACGGTGGCTGGAAGAAACAAACACATTCGAGAGTTTTTATTTTTGTTTGAAGTTTCTGCTCTGAATGAGTGCGACCCTGGCGTTGGGGGAAAATGTCAAAAGAAGAGGTGATTCGAGCAGTTCAATCGGTATCCGACGTACGAGCAGCGTTGCCAGATTGTTTTAAAGTTTATCGGTATCAAAGGTTTGAAAATATCCGTAATAAGCAGCATGCTTCAAGAAAAGCTCGTACACAGCAAAAAAAGTTGTTGAATATTACATCGAAACTGCTGCAACCAGGTCAATCCATCGGTTGTGTAATATCACATTGTACGATGTACATCGATTTTGCGAACAAAATTACATCCATTGATGTAATATTGCATCTGCTTTTTGCTATTACATCATTATTTCATACATCAGCTTGAATTACGTTGATCGATATTACATTTTTTTTTGCTGTGTAGTAAGCAGCTTAAAGCTGCTTTATTTTACACATACTTCAGCAGCTTCCGGAGATCTTCTAGTTTGGCTTGTGGTAAAGGTAATGGAGGTGGTGGCACCCCTGCCGCTTTTGATTGGAACACGCACGATGAATACGAAGATTCATATTCATATCATATTTATAGAAAACAGTTCTCGGCGATGATGTGCGGTATTAACCACTTCATTCGAGCAGATAAAATGACGTTTACTACCACTCGAACGTTGAAATGAAACATTATTTTGAGATTTTTTCTTCTAGAACCTCGAAAAAAGTAGCCAACATTTGTGCGTTTCACAAAAAAATAGAAATTAGCTGGTCCAGTTTTGTGAAATCGCTGGTAGAAAGTCACGTCAAAACTGCTTGACAAAGTGGTCAATTGGAAGCTCATTATCTGTTTGAATTTGAATGTTTCACCGTTTATGTGACTGATGAGAAACTGATTATGTTCCGATGATTTTAGTTTTAGAAAATTAGACAAAATCTTTTTACGTAGTTTTTCGTTGTATTTTAAGAAGCATTTCAATCGAACGCATCCACATGCCCGTTTTACTCTTCGTGCTGGAGCTACTGTACCATCCATCCGAGTGTATTTCAAGCCTCTTTCCTTTCTGTTCCGGTGAATTTTCCATGCAGCGATTCTTGTTTGTTTGCATTATTTATTTCCTCAAGCAAAGTAGATGCTGATTAGTAGAAGTAGTAGTTAGTAGTAGATTAAACTTGACTAGTTCGCCGGCTTCATCGGACGCTTCAACATGATTTTCAGAAAATGTTGCAAGTGGACGGCGTGGTATTTCCAGAAGTTTCCCTTTGCGGCAAACTATAAAGTTATTTCTCATAAGTGATTTTATCAAGGATAGGGCATAGAACAAACCTTACCAAGGTAGGTTTAATGATATATTATGGAAGAAAAAAGTATAAATGACTCTCCAAAATATATTATTACCACAAACCAATGATAAACTACATTTATAAGTCAATATAAAACTTACCAAGCGTCTCATTCTCGTTATCAGATTCTTGGTCATGTTTGATGTTGTTTTCCTTAGTATTATTGTTCTCGTCTAAGATCTCTATGTCCGATTCACTATAGCTCATAAATAATAGATTACACGTGGAAAGGCTGAAAATATTCCATAAGGGAATGCTCCGTGAGACCTTCCTCGTCGGCATTCTCCTCAAATTCTTCGTCCTCAGCCTCGTCATCAATTAATTCAAACTTTGAGTCTACAAAATTTTGAATATCCTGCGCGTGATTTTCGTTTAGCGAAGCGGTCAATTTTCTCATGGTCGATGGATTCTTCCGACATTGTATTATGAATCCAACGTTGGATTCGTCAGCTGTCGAACATCCGGTGGGCGGTTCTTGAACTTTCGAAGCATCCTCGGTCTCCTCATTAATTAAGGCAATCATTGGGTCTACAGAATTTTGAATACCCTGTGCTAGATTCTCGTTTAACGAAGCGGTAAATTCTCTTATTGGAGGATCTCGTAATGGATTCTTCCGGTATTGGATTCCACATCCAACGTTGGTTTCGTTCGCTGACGAACATCCGACGAGTGATTCTTTGGCATCCGGAGCGGAGTCAATGAAACCAGGTTTCTTAGCTACCTGCGTGCAGTTCCATGAACTGACAGGATTGAAGGTTGAATTTTGTCGCTTCATTGCCAAATCAATCGGCACGTTCTTCTCCACCCGTTGAGACACTGTTAAATCGACAGGTTGGTCGATGATCAGCTCAATCATGGGGGACGGTTCCGGTAATGTATGCTCCGATTGTATGTTTACCGTGGATGAGAGATTCAACGGACCAGAGTTGGTTAAATCCAGTGGTTCATTTTCGAAATTTCTTTTCCGGCTTGTGTCTTCAAATGATTTATTTTGTTACTGTGTCACTTCGACGACTGTGTAGACTTCTTCGAACTCTTTTTACAAATAACAATCATCTCAAACAGCTGAGGGCGTAAAAACCATCATGTGTCGAACATGTGTATTGTGCAATTGCTTTTATGCCATTTATTTTTTTTTAATTTGATTTATTATCATTTTAAAATAGTTCAATAAATTATCAATACAATGTTAGCATAAACTCATTTATGTTGTTTTGGGTTTTAAGCCGTTTTCAAATGTTACGCCTGAATTACAATTTTAATTTATTTTATATCTTAGCTGTTTTTGAAAGTGAAATTTTTAACTTTTGGACTATGATCGGAAAATTCTGAAAGAAAACTCCGGGGAATGTTTGAATTAGCTTCTGAAAGAACATCCAGAGAAAGAAGAAAGAAGCTCTTCTGGACGAAATTTGAGGAAAATTCTAAGAAAAGTTGGAGAAACATCCGGAAACTACCAAGACAAGAATTGAGAAACTTCTAGTGAATATTCAAAGAAACCATCGGAAAAAAAATTGGATCTCACATCCAGAGGAAGCCAGAAAAGTTTCGGAAAATGGAAGTAAATTCCAGAAGTAGCCAGTTCTAGGGGAAGCCAGAAGAAGTTCGGAAAAACCTTCCAATAAAAGTCGAAAACCTATGGCTTATGGACACACAGAAGAAGACGAAAGAAACTTCCTGGAGACGCTGGTAGACACTTCCTATGGTAGATTGCAAGAAAATTCTGGAGAAATTTGGAAGCCAGAGCGCCTGTGGAACAGTCGAAAGAAACAAGGACATGATTCCGGAAGAAAGAGATTTCTGGGGGATGTTCTAATGATCCAGTAAATTTTCCTGATATTCATAAAACATCCCTGAAAACCCCGCAATACCCCTGAAGTTTTCAGAACATTCAGGAAATTTCAGGAATATTCCATAAAAGTTCTTGTAATTTTCTTGAAGTTAATGGGGCTGTTTGGAAGTTCTCTGATGATTCTCCAAGTACTCGGAACTTCCCTGATTATAATGAGGCTACCTGGATATCTTGAAGACTACGAAATTTCTTAAGGGCTCTCACAATTTTCTTGAATTTATTGTATCATTAGCATTGAAGATTTCTAATCTTCCCAATATTAAACATTTTAGTTCTTGGCACTGCCATTAAAAAGCACGGGATTTCACATAAAAAGTTCTCACAATGTTCTAATGTTCATGAACTTCCCTTGCGTTTCCTAAATGTGTGGAACATTGCCTGAGTTTCTCGAAAATTCTTTAAAATATCAGCATTTCCTTGAAATTAATTGATCTGTCCCGATGTTCAAGGAGCTTCCCTAAACTTCTCCCAATTGACCACTTTGTCAAGCAGTTTTGGTGTGACTTTCTACCAGCGATTTCATACAACTGGACCAACAAATTACTATTTTTTTTTTATGAAACGCACATATTTTGGCTACTTTTCTCTTGGTTCTAGAAGAAAAAATCTCAGAATATTCTTCTATTACAAAGTTCAAGTGGTAGTAAACGTAATTTAAACTGCTCGAAGTGGTTAATTCTCTGAAACAAATGAAACTTTCCTGAAAACCATTCAATT